GTTATTTAATTATTATTCATTTCTAAAAAGCTCATGAATTTATGCAGTACGGCATTATACGCGAAAGTATTTTTTGGAGTATTTTTAGGTGTTTTAACTTTAAGTGATGACTCGCGTTGCTATGTTTACCAAATTAAAAATAAGTGTTGCATTACAGCGACACTAATTCAGTAAATATAACTGAATTATTGTCGTAGTTGGTAATGTGTAGCTTTTAATATAATTATTAAAAATATCCATATATCTAATTATGAAAAATATACAGAATACTGACAGTAATAATACACAATAATTTTAATTATAGATCATGGTCTTACATTATAGATCATGGTATTAATGTTGAATATTGTTGTACTGTCATTGTAGTTTATCGTACTGCCATTATAGGTTATGAACGAGGACTGTAATAATTCATTTGTTTACGCTTTGAATTACCATCGCAAAGTTTTGTGCTTTGAACTGTTTCAAAGAAATCATTGTGTAAAAACACATGTTCCGTATTTTACACAGGATTTATCTCCAAACATCTGTAATACAGATGCAAGATGAAATATGTGTAATGGTATTGTCCAGACGGTGCATGGAGGTATATTGTCCAGACGGGGACAATATACCTCTATGCTATATGCTACACCAATATACCTTATTATATATATGCTAGGGTGAGGTGTATATGCTCTATTGTGAGGAAAACATATATATATATATATATATATATATATATATATATATATATATATATATATATATATATATATATATATATATATAGACATATGTCGTACCTAGTAGCCAGAACTCACTTCTCAGCCTACTATTCAAGGCCCGATTTGCCTAATAAGCCAAGTTTTCCTGAATTAATATATTTACTATAATTTTTTTCTTATGAAATGATAAAGCTACCCTTTTCTCTATGTATGAGGTCAATTTTTTTTTATTGGAGTTAAAATTAACGAAGATATATGACCGAACCTAACCAACCCTACCTAACCTAACCTAACCTATATTTATAGGTAAGGTTAGGTTAGGTAGCCAAAAAAAGCTAGGTTAGGTTAGGTTAGGTAGGTTAGGTAGACGAAAAAACATTAATTCATGAAAACTTGGCTTATTAGGCAAATCGGGCCTTGAATAGTAGGCTGAGAAGTGCGTTCTGGCTATTAGGTACGACATATATATATATATATATATATATATATATATATATATATATATATATATATATATATATATATATATGCTAGGGAGAGGTATATATGCTCTAGGGTGAGGTATATATACTCTAAGGCGAGGTATATGTTGCAATAGTAACTCATGATATAAACAGAGTGGCGGAGATTAAAGTGAAAACCGAGATTACATAACAAATTTCCCAGTTAAGCTCTGTTAAGGTCTGTGTGTGTGTGTGTGTGTGTGTACTCACCTAATTGTGCTTGCGGGTGTTGAGCTTTGGCTCTTTGGTCCCGCCTCTCAACCGTCAATCAACTGGTGTACAGGTTCCTGAGCCTACTGGGCTCTATCCTATCTACATTTGAAGCTGTGCATGGAGTCTGCCTCCACCACATCAATTCTTTCTAATGTCTCTGTGGCTCAATTGGGTACTACGTTTTCACCTGTTTCCCCTTGTTCGTGTTCCACCCATTGCTAAATAGTTTGTCTTTGGCCACCCTGTCAATTCTCCTTAGAATTTTGTAGGTGGTTATCATGTCTGTCCTGACTCTTCTGTCTTCCAGGGACGTGAGGTTTAGCTCCCGTAGCCTTTCCTCGTAGTTCATACCTCTCAGTTCTGGGACTAGTCTGGTGGCATATCTCCGAATCTTCTCTAACGTTGCACCCAGTGTGCAGTGTGAGTTGACCACCCGCGCATCCATACACCGACACACACACACACACACACACATACAGAGTTAGGGGGGACATGATCACCACATTCAAGATTCTCAAGGGAATTAATAGGGTAGATAAAGACAGTCTATTTAACACAAGGGGCACACGCACTAGGGGACACAGGTGGAAACTGAGTGCCCAAATGAGCCACAGAGATATAAGAAAGAACTTTTTTAGTGTCAGAGTGGTTGACAAATGGAATGCATTAGGAAGTGATGTGGTGGAGGCTGACTCCATACACAGTTTCAAGTGTAGATATGATAGAGCCCAATAGACTCAGGAACCTGTACACCTGTTGATTGACAGTTGAGAGGCGGGACCAAAGAGCCAGAGTTCAACCCCCACAAGCACAACTAGGTGAGTACAGAGGCAGCAGGCACGTAGGGAGTAAATCCTTCACTGATGTTTGGAATCTGTTAACTGTGTTGTCTTCCGACCATTCCCTAAGTTACTTTCCTTTAAACATTTCCAACACAAAGATAAATGAATACAAGATGAATAATTCAACAGTTGTACATTATTCAGGGGCCAGATTCACGAAAGCTCTTACGCAAACACTTACGAACGCGTACATCTTTCCTCAATCTTTGGCGGCTTAGGTTCCATTTATTAAACAGTTTACAAGCATGAAACTTGCCAATCAACTGTTGTCATTGTTATAAACAGCCTCCTGGGGCTTCGGAGCTCATTAACTGTTTAATAATTGGAAACAAAGCCGCCAAAGATTGAGGAAAAGATGTACAGGTTGGTAAGTGCTTGCGTAACTGCTTCGTGAATCTAGCATCAGACTCTTAGTGCCTCGTATCACTGGCTGAGGTAAAGCCCCAAACGTCATGCCAAAGAACGTGTATAAAACGTGACTTGAGTGTTTTCAACGTGAGGTAGTGAAACAGAGTTTGATATCAATGTGTTTTTTAGAGCCCTGGGGGAAGATGAGGTGGGGGGGGGGGATATGAAGTGGCGGATTCGAACCCTGGGACAGTGGATAAAATCCTATAACCCCAAGGGACAGAGGGAAGGGGGGGGGGATAATTTCGAACAGCTGTGCTGGGGTTTTAGTCTTGTAGTGTAAGACCACTTTTTTGTTTTCAAAAAATCTGAGACGGTTTCTATTGGTGTAAAAGGTTTCGAAGGCTGAGTGTTTAGACAGACCAGTGGGCACCCGTCTCTTCTGTCCGTACATTAAGACAGGTGGCCAGTCATGTCTTAATGGCCACAGTTATTCCATAATTTTCTGCCTTAAACGACAAACTTGAGTTCATTAACGACATATATTATTGCAAGTATTGAGCATATATTATTGCAAGTGTTGCGCATATATTATTGCAAGTGTTGAGCATATATTATTGCAAGTATTGAGCATATATTATTGCAAGTATTGAGCATATATTATTGCAAGTGTTGAGCATATATTATTGCAAGTATTGAGCATATATTATTGCAAGTGTTGAACATATATTATTGCAAGTGTTGAGCATATATTATTGCAAGTATTGAGCATATATTATTGCAAGTATTGAGCATATATTATTGTAAGTGTTGAGCATATATTATTGCAAGTGTTGAGCATATATTATTGAAAGTGTTGAGCATATATTATTGCAAGTATTGAGCATATATTATTGCAAGTGTTGAGCATATATTATTGCAGGTGTTGAGCATATATTATTGCAAGTGTTGAGATAGTGAAGGTGTTCCGAGTGACGCCGGCGGACGGTCAAGAGGCATTGGGTCGTGTGTACCAGATGATGAGTGAGTCATTGATGAAGAAGTTGATGAATGAGCTACATATACCCGACAAGAAGCAATGCTTCGACCCATCATTATCATCACCGATGATCGTTCTGCCTTTCTGGGGGGGAAAGGATTTGTGTTTTAACTCGTAATGACGCGATTTCCTGTGTTAGTTTAATGGTCATTTTTCTTCTTAAACTGAGGCAGTAAACGCTAATGTAAGTCCCGCCACGGCAAACAGCGGTATATAGGGTTGAAACTGTTTGGGCTTCAACGCGTTGTGTGTGTGACCTGACCTCTTGGTGGTGGTACCGTTTAGGGAGTTTATAGTCTACGTTATATTTGTTTTTTTGGGTTTGTTTATTTATCTATTCACTTGGGGTTGGACGATAGAGCGACGGTCTCGCTTCCTGCAGGTCGGCGTTCAATCCCCGACCGTCCAAGTGGTTAGGCACTATTCCTTTCCCGCCCCCCCCCCCCCCGTCCCATCCCAAATCCTTATCCTGAGCCTTTTAAGTGCTATATAGTTGTAATGGTTTGGCGCCTTCCATTGATAATTTATTCATTCATTTACCTATGAAATGACCATTTACCTACGACCCTTCTATTAAGTTAGAGGTCGTAGCCAGTGTTGGTCGTAGACAGTCGTAGATCAGTCTATCTACGACCTAATTGCAATTGTTATCGTAACCGTGTATGTGTGAACTCAACTGCATGTACTGACTTAATGTGCTTTCAGTGTCGAGAGCTGACTCCCGGGCCCCGCCTTACCAGCTATCGGTTACCTAAAGCAGTGACGTCTGACTTCCATGTTTCTTCGTGAGTCTACTTGTGAAACAACATAGATTCTACTATCTGTCTGTTTCTCGTGTTTGTAATATTTGTTCACTACGCTCACGTCATGAGGATTTGTGGGGCGTGTCAACAAGGGAGAACCTTTAATAGATCAGTGCCCAGTCGATCCTCCCTATCTAGGGCTCGAACCCTGCCGAAATCGCTGAATGGTTAGTTATAGTAAGTTACTTAACTCCAAGAATTGCTTTAAGCTTGCGTCCATGCAAGTTAAGTTAAAGTTAAGCTTTCTTTCTGCTCTCTCTCTCTCTCTCTCTCTCTCTCTCTGGTGATCCTAGTGAATTAAATGCTATTACCCCACATTATAATATATATAATGTATATATATATATGTGTGTATAATATATAAATTTGAGAAGCAGGTGGACTTTCCAGGGAGACAAATTGGACACATTGCATCACAAACCGACGTGGTGGAATCCTCTCTCCTCCATATATACCGCCAGCGACCATTAGGCTCAGCTGAGCGGCGCCTCGATTTCCGGATCTGAATTTGGAACACGACCTCGGACACCTTCCCCCCCCCCCCCCTATCCCATCCACGAAGATGCTTCATACACTGCTTCATTTTCCTTGAGACAGGCTTCACACACTGCTTCATCCTCCTTGAGACAGGCTTCATACACTGCTTCATTTTCCTTGAGACAGGCTTCACACACTGCTTCATCCTCCTTGAAACAGGTTTCATACGCTGCTTCGTCCTGCTTGAGACAGGCTTCACACACTGCTTCATCCTCCTTGAGACAGGCTTCACACACTGCTTCATCCTCCTTGAGACAGGAGTCATACACTGCTTCATCCTGCTTGAGACAGGCTTCACACACTGCTTCATTTTCCTTGAGACAGGCTTCACACACTGCTTCATCCTCCTTGAAACAGGTTTCATACGCTGCTTCGTCCTGCTTGAGACAGGCTTCACACACTGCTTCATCCTCCTTGAGACAGGCTTCACACACTGCTTCATCCTCCTTGAGACAGGAGTCATACACTGCTTCATCCTGCTTGAGACAGGCTTCACACACTGCTTCATCCTCCTTGAGACAGGCTTCACACACTGCTTCATCCTCCTTGAGACAGGAGTCATACACTGCTTCATCCTCCTTGAGACAGGCTTCACACACTGCTTCATCCTCCTTGAGACAGGCTTCAAACCCTCCTTCGTCCTCCTTCCTAATCTTCTCACTTCGGATGATATTAAAAGGCGAGGCGAAGAAAACCGTCAGAACAGGTTCATACCGTTAATAACAGTTCATGTGGGGAACTAACCTAACCTAACCTAACCTAACCTAACCTAACCTAACCTAACCTAACCTAACCTAACCTAGGTTCATACCGTTAATAACAGTTCATGTTGGGAACTGACACAGTCAGAATAGAACCTTACGCAACTTCACGAAAATGAAATAATTTCAGGACGTCAAATAAATGTTTTCCTCGGTACATTGTTACAAGGAAGAGGCATCAGTAACGGCTTATAATAACGTAGACAAACTGTGACTAGTAGATTAAACAGGGAGTGAAGCCAACAGCGAGTGAAGCCAACAGCGAGTGAAGCCAACAGCGAGTGAAGCCAACAGCGAGTGAAGCAAGTTTTGAGTGCAACAGCAACAACAACCATAAGCTTTTATTCACATTGTGACAAATGGATAGTGAATCATCTGCTAACGGATGTAGCCTTGTTGTATTAGGCCATAAGGATCTATCTCCTCCGGGTTTTTTGAGTCCATCCATTGCCTGGTAAGACCAAAACTGAATCTTGTAGTTACGAAAGCAATTAAACTATTCAAACTCAATTCATGGTTAGAAATTTAATAGTCAACTGATATATCTATTAACTTCATTGCTCTACTCTGCGAGACAGTGGATGGGGCTCCGGTCAACCCATCCAGGCCCTCCATGGCATTGATTGATATATTGATTGAATAATAATTGCTCTAGCGCCGTTAACAGTTATTGATGCCGTCTAACACGCGATATTCATTTAATCCTTCGGTCCGGCGCACAGATCTGTGTCTAACTCCCCCACCTGGTCAAGTATAACTGGAGGAAACAGGGCCTTGTGGGCCAACTGAATCGTAACTCATCGTAAAAGGATGGAACAGACATGTTGACCAATCCACACACACTAGAAGGTGAAGGGACGACGACGTTTCGGTCCGTCCTGGACCATTCTCACAATCGACTTGAGAATGGTCCAGGACGTACCGAAATGTCGTCGTCCCTTCATTTTCTAGTGTGTGGATTGGTCAACATACTTCAGCCACGTTATTGTGACTCATCGCCTGCATATGGAACGTACATAATCTCTTCTATCCTTTGATTGCGACAGACATCACAAGCCATACTCGACTAGGAGCCGGTCGGCCGAGCGGACAGCACACTGGATTTGTGATCCCAGGCGCCGGCGAGAAACAATGGGCAGAGTTTCTTTCACCCTATACCTAGCAGTAAAATAGGTACCTGGGTGTTAGTCAGCTGTCACGGGCTGCTTCCTGGGGGTGGAGACCTGGTCGAGGACCGGGCCGCGGGGACACTAAAGCCCCGAAATCATCTCAAGATAACCTCAAGAAGATAACCCTCCGGGTCATGGGCAGGGCTGAAAAGTGGCATTCCCAAAAAAAAGGGGCTTCCGGGCCTAGCCTCAGAGAGAGAGGAAAAGAGCCAGTCCATCTGTACGGCCTCTCGCAATTACTAAACTTCGCCGTCGTTGTTGTTGGAAATGCGGCTCCATTTAGGATACGGAAGCACTGGAAGCAGCGTTTGAAGTGGGGTCGCCTTTGTTCCAGCGTGAGGACACACGCGATACGATTGTGGAGCGCTGAAGGTCAGCCGGAGGTCAGCAGGTCAGCCTGACGTCAGCCGGAGGTCAGCTGGGGTCACACACTACTGAGTCAGCCTCTAATCTGCGCTATACGATGTGGTTAATCAGGTAAACGATAGAACGAGGGAGATAGATAAGTGAGATGTATCGCTTCTCTCTCTCTCTCTCTCTCTCTCTCTCTCTCTCTCTCTCTCTCTCTCTCTCTCTCTCTCTCTCTCTCTCTCTCTCTCTCTCTCTCTCTCTCTCTCTCTCTCTCTCACAACCAGCCTATTTTTCTGCGCATATATATACATTTCTTTCCCCCCCCCCTATTCTCCCGTTGGCTTTTCTTTGGCTTCTATTCCCTGAGGCAGGCAGGCTTCACACACCTGCCTCAGGATCGAATGATTCGTAATTCGTAAATGACGAATCATTCAATCCTGATCACTATGTGTGAACTCTGCCAGCAGGAACGGGGTCATTTTCTCCAATCACTGTTATTCGTTAAAACGGGCTGAAACAAGTTCATCAAGCAGCTGCTAAAGGATTGACAACGAGGAAGCCAAGGAAGGAAAGTCATTGACTTACTGAACAGATGGACAAACGGGGACAAGGAGCTAGAACACGATTTTCTAAACACACCTAGCGAGTAAACACACACACACACACACACACACACACACACACACACGCTGGAGGTAATCCAGCTCAGGAATCTGTACACCTGTTGATTGACGGTTGAGAGGCGGGACCAAAGAGCCAGAGCTCAACCCCCGCAAACACAACTAGGTGAGAACTAGGTGAGTACACACACACACACACACACACACACACACACACACACACACACACACACACACACACACACACACACACACACACAAGTTCCAAACCTGTGAGAGAACTCCACAGTCATCAGTGTGTGAGACAAGGGTCACCTGAGGGTAATGGCAGCACAACCTAACTAAATTTGTAGAACAAATTGGCCACACGCATTTAACTTCAAAATCTTGGAAAGGCGGAGCTTATGAGCTGAAGCTCAGCCTTGCAAAGCAAGCACATATAGGTGAATATCTATGTCAATAGCACAATATAGTTAATGAATTAAGCAACGTGTGTTTGTCAATTCACGTTAAAATTAGAAACATTTTTTTATATTCAGTTTTAATAGCCTATGAAAGAGGGTGAAAGATTATATATATATATATATATATATATATATATATATATATATATATATATATATATATATATATATATATATATATATATATATATATATATTCACTTTTCGTAGAAACGTGTTTAATAAAATGTTAATTATATTTTGCATAATTGAAACAAATATATGAATTATGATCACCATGCCAAACATGCTTTACAACTAAGCCTCTCGCGTGGAATGTTAATGGAACTGGATAGCAGTCACCTATGGCCCACATGACTTGGCTATGTGGCCCACATGGCCTAGCCTGTGGCCAACATGGCCTGACCTATGGCCCGCATGTTATCGCTCATAACATGTAAGTAAAACAAATGCGAAGCTTGAATGGTCCCCAAGCCAATATGCAACTGAAAACTTCTCACCCCTGAAGGATTCGAACCCAAGCAGCCAAGGGCTCCATGCACCTTAGCGTATCCAGTATTATACCAACTAGACCACACTGACTGTAGAAAAAAGTTGGAAGTCGTGTGACTTTTAGCCCAACCCCCGATAGCTCTCGATGGTCAATTTTAGGGTCAACTTCAAACCTTTTTGTACAATCAATATATATATATATATATATATATATATATATATATATATATATATATATATATATATATATATAATAGTGTCAGACCACGAAAGAAGGATTAAGACAGGAATTTCCTTAAGTACTTTCGTATTTAATAATACATCTTCAGAAGGATGGATTTACAAATCAGTAAGTGTGGATATATAGGCAGGAAAGAGGTGAGGCACAATGTCTAATGAGATTAAGGTAATTAATAATGTATTAATGAGATAAATGTGTATCAGTTATCCTACTTTAATCGCCCTTTAACTGATCAATCAAAATGGATCTAAATTATTCAAACTACTGCTAATGTTTAAATTACTTGATTTTATAAGCTGTATTAAAGCAGATTAGCAAAGCACGTCGTACATAATATAATATTATATACAGTGAGAAAATTCACCCAAAAAATGTGTTATGTTGACAATATTTTCGAACCTAGAAAAATATGGTAAAGGCCTTGAAACGTTTTGATATGCATTGATTGTTTAATTACAAAAAAACTCTTGGAAAACAATTAGTCAGAAACAGCATTTGTAGTGATAATTGTATCATTTACAAAATACCTTGTAAAGACTGTAATAGGTTCTATGTAGGGCAAACATCTAAAGATTAGTCTTTCTGGAGGCTTAATTAGTGAGAAGTTGAATTCCCAAATGATGTTTACGAACTGGAAGTTACTGTGGAGACTAAATGACTATATTATGGGGGAACTGAGTGAATACGAAGACTTGACAATGGTCCAGGATGGACCGAACCGTCATTTCTTTCATTTTCAGATTGGTGGGGTATTACTTACTACGAGTTATCATGAGTTAGTATTATGAAAGTTGCTAGGGCTGAGATACCATTAAGATAGTACTCTGACGAGAGGTTACACTTGAGTCAGATGCCATTGTCTGGCAGATCCCCATCAGTGGGGGGGGGGGGCCATGGTTATGAGGCTTCACTCTCTAAGACACTTTTGCGAGCACGAGCTGTCGCAGCGCTCCCTCTAAAAGGCACCATTGTGTATGCATCCCCCCATTGAGTGGGAAGCTCTTATTGCGCTCATCCAGGTGAGAATCGCTGTCATTAAACCCATGGAGGAGATTCTGGAGTATCGATTCTGGGGTTGATGCCTATCAACCTCTGTAGGGTTGATACCTACATCAATATCCTAGCACCTATCAACCTCTGTAGGGTTGATACCTACATCAATATCCTTGCACCTATCAACCTCTGTAGGGTTGATACCTACATCAATATCCTAGCACCTATCAACCTCTGTAGGGTTGATACCTACATCAATATCCTAGCACCTATCAACCTCTAGGGTTGATACCTACATCAATATCCTAGCACCTATCAACCTCTAGGGTTGATACCTACATCAATATCCTAGCGCCATCAACCTCTGTAGGGTTGATACCTACATCAATATCCTAGCACCTATCAACCTCTGTAGGGTTGATACCTACATCAATATCCTAGCACCTATCAACCTCTAGGGTTGATACCTACATCAATATCCTAGCGCCTATCAACCTCTGTAGGGTTGATAGGTGCTTGCTAACCTGTGCTTGTCAACCGTCAACTTTGTTCAGAACTAAGAATACTTTCGGCCTGAACGTTGGCTTGGACTAAACTGTGTATACATTGTGTATATATGCATGTATATCTCTCTGCGTATACATCCTTATACACTTTCCTTATAACTATGAATGTGGGTAATACAAAGACAATGCATAGGAGACTTGGGGCCACCAGGAGGCCTGGTCGAGGACCGGGCCGCGGGGACGCTAAGCCCCGAAATTATCGCAAGGTAACCCTTATCGCCGGTTCCAGTCATCTCGGTGTTCCACTTGATTTTCTCACGAATTCATTATTATACATTTGACGTGATGATGATCTAACTTTGTTATATTAGATCATGATGATCTAACATTATTATACATTTGACGTGATGATGATCTAACTTTATTATATTAGATCATGATGATCTAACATTATTATACATTTGACGTGATGATGATCTAACTTTATTATATTAGATCATGATGATCTAACATTATTATACATTTGACGTAATGATGATGATATTTTAAGATCATGTATATTTTACATTTTCATATCTCCTGTCTATCTCTAAGAGTGTATTCGTATCTGTATTCATCAACCCATCTTCCAGAAAAGATAATACAGTAACTATTGGGTTGAAAGCACCAATATTGGTACTGTTGGACCCCAAAAAAGTTCATTTTGTACCATTAATTTCATAGTTTGAAACAAGCTCAAATCCAAAGTTAAACTTTCCTTGGCAGATACATGTACTATATTAGGTCTGGGATTGTCCGGATAGGTTGTTACGTTACGTTTAGTAATTCAAAACTGGAACTTTTGCGGGCCCAACAGCACATATATATATATATATATATATATATATATATATATATATATATATATATATATATATTATATATATATAATATATATATATATATATATATATATATATATATATATATATATATATATAATATATATATATATATATATATACACATATATATATATAATTTTTTTTTTTTTTTTTTTTATAATATATCCAATCAATATATCACCAATATATATATATATATATATATATATATATATATATATATATATATATATATATATATATATATATATATATATATATATTGGTGCGCTTGGGTAAATACTTGCTAAAGATACCATAATTTTACGAGGCTCGGATGGCTTGTATTGGCCCTGTGTAA